TTGCCTTTACATGCTTACGCTGTTAATTTATCCATTGCATGGGTGGACCTTATCCTATCAATCATCCAGACATTTGCCCCCCCTGAGAGATTTTGCAGGAGCCGCCACTGCCCAGCAGGTGCCACGGGTCGACTTACCCTCTCGAGCAGTGGTTCTCACCCTCGTTTGACTCCTGGTGCCCCTTGTTGATTTGTGTGTCAACCGAGTGCAAAATGTTTCCCAGTTTACCCAAAACCTCAGCCGAGATCTGCCCTTGGGGTTTGGTGGTGGCGGCGCCGATTGAACGGTTCGCAAAGTGGTCCCCAAAGTTGCTCGCAGTAGAGAGTCTCGAAACGCCGCCCCTGTTGACATTCCACCGAGATGGATTACCGGCTCCTGGACCTTTGATCGACGGGTCAATGTTCATCAAACCCGGACGTTTACTCGCTGGCTGCTACTGCTGCGTCCATGAATAGAAATACTGTACGGTACAAACGACGAGCCATCTGCAATGTTGGCAGCAAAGATGATTTTGCAACGTTCCCTAAGATGCTTTTTATTTCGCAATACAGGAAGCACACACACACACACAAATTGAGATGTGATAATTGTTTTTTTACCATTTTATCTGGCAACAAAATTGACACCTTTTTTTTACAAGGAGTCATGTTTGCATTAACCACAATACCTGCAGTCAGAATGCAAACAAAAAACACAACTCTGATAATGTATGCACTGTCCTTGAAATTGATTGGTCCACACCCGAGACAGCTTTCTTTAGAGCCTAGTCTCACCAGATGACGCCAAAACGCGCACAACTCAAGGACAATGCACTATCAGAGTATGAGAGCTCGGGGTAAGCATTCTGACTGCAGGTATTGTGGTTAATGCAAACATAACTCCTTGTAAAAAAAGGTGTCAGTTTTGTTGCCAGATAAAATGGCAAAAAACAATTATTATATTTTGCAACTGGCAAATGAGGTTCCAATGGTGTAAATTGAGATGTGTGAGAAGTCGTATAACATACCGGTGGCGTGTATCCACACACAGGAACTTGGAATAAATATCTTCCTGTTATCTGCAATATCACATATCGGGGAAGGGGGTGGGCGGCAATGTATTTAAATCACCAATCTGCTCTTCCCTGTAAAATGAGGGTTAGGTGTTTACTTACATTCCACACAACGACGCGCACAATCACTGTGAATCGTTAGTGACCAAAACGTCTTTGAGCTCACTTCCTCTTTCTTTTTCTTCTTCAGGAACTGCCACCAGCCACCATCGCGACATCGGATGGGTTATACGTGGCACGCCGTGGAGACGAGAACGACACGTAGGCCTTAGCGACCAATATCTACAATAGTAGAGGTTTATGGGTTATATGCGTATTACGACGTTTCGATTGCAACACAAGCAATCATCATCAGGCATGAAAGAAATAGCAACAAAAATCTAACTAGAAAACTATAGACAGACATACAAGCAGACAGACACATATCGGCACAAAGAGAGAGGGTTTGTAGAAACGGCCTCTCTCTTTGTGATGATGTGTCCTCTCTCTGTGTGTCCTTGTGATGTCTGTCTGCTTGTGTGTCAGTCTATAGTTTCTAGTTAGATTTTGTTGCTATTCTTTCATGCCTGATGATGATTGCTTGTGTTGCAATCGAAACGTCGTAATATGCTATTATTCAATTTATTATTTTATCTTTAGACGTGACTTAACCGAAAGAACCAAAGAATAAATCCTGCAGTCACGAAAGCTCCAAAATAAGATAGATTGCGTATATATATAAACGCGTCGTGAAACCCATACAGCCAATTAGTAAGGGCTGTCACGTGAACAGAAAATGGGAATTTGTTACCAATCTGTAACCCAGTCTTGGAGCGTGACAAAAAACAAAGTCGCTCCGCTTGATTCCAGTGTCCAATATTACATACACGACGTTAAGCACCACGTACATACAACTTAATCAAAATCACTGCACGGAAATACATCACCCCCAAGTCTGCGAGATTGAAGCGGGGTGCAAGTGAATGCGGTAACTTTTTAAAAAAACAGGGATGCTTATATTTGTCTTATTTGTATGCGTAAGTTTAGGCCAAATATTATTTCCAACAACAACCACAAGACAACTTAGATTATGGCCATCAGTCCTAAACTCTGTACTAACATGGCCAAACCGAAAAACGTTTAAAAAAATCACCAAACTGAAGCCAGTAAAAGCAATGAACAGTGATCATAGGAACTGTGACGGAATTTTCACAATAAACGACATAAACAACATTGTACTACAAAAACCCTGCAGCCATAGCTGGCTGCATGAGTCACTCCACAACAGCAGCAGGAGCATCAGTCGGATTATCAACATTTTTCAATGCACCTTAAAGATCAGCACACTAAATCAAAACACAGATCATACTTTGCAGCGATTATCCGAGCGAAACATTGTATTTTAGGCCACGAAATTGCACTGGCAGCTAGGGGTGTACAACAACTCCTCTAGAGCAGTTTTGAGTGAAGATCTCATAGGTAGTGATTCAAGTTGCAGGTTTATTGGCAGTGGTTGTGATAGACACCGCGAACCGCCTGCGTACCTGCGCAAGGTGGTTAACATCTCGCACACGATGGATTCCAAATGCATCGTGGATCACTCACCAGCATCAACGATGCCCTCTGGTTCAGCTGGGCGAGGCTGAACGCGGAGCAGCGCTGTTACCGGCTTATTTATATTCGCGTCACCCGAAGGGGGGCAACCGTAGTTTCTCGGAAAAGGCGGTCAGAGAGAGGCAGTCAGCCGTGTCACGAAACGTGACGTGCCGTGGGCGCAAAGCGACGCTCCCAAATTGCAAAGAGCGATCCGACAAGCGGATTCGTCGCTTACCATTCTCCACCCCCCCCCCCCCCACCTCACCCCCCTTTAGTCGTATTTCGACGTTGTCCTCTGTGTGTGTTCAGGTTGTACATGAAGCAGTGGCGTAGTAGCAAAAGTAGCTACATGTGTCTGCTTGGTTCTTTCGGTAAAGTCACGTGGAAGGGAAATAATACAATAATACAAATAAAACATAAAATAATTGTGAGAATTATTTTATAATGTTTTAATTTTACGGAGATAATAAAATATTAAAAATAAAACATAATGAAATAATTGTGAGATTTATTTTATGTTTATTTTTATTATTTTATTATTTGCCTTCTACGTGACTTTACCGAAAGAACCAAGAAGATGAATCCCTGCAGTCACGAAAGCTTTAAATCGAAATTTAGCTACATATGCTACTGGCCCCGCACTTTCCAGGGTGCCCGCGCTAAATACTTTCAAGCTATCAATTCCGGTTGGGTGATTCTGCACTTGCTCTATTACTATAGTACTGTACCGCCTTCAACTTTTATTAGGTTAGGGGCCGTCCATAAATGACGTCACGCACCTGGGGGGTGGGGGGGGGGGGGGGGGGTCAGGCGTGGATGGAGGAAAATCAAATTTATTTAATTAATTATAAAATTTTATCTCGATTGACGGTTAATGCTGCATAGTATTGCATTGCAGTACAGTGAGGGAAAAAAATATTTGATCTGCTAATTTTGTACGTTTGCCCACTGACAAAAAAAGGATCAGTCTATAATTGTAATGGTAGGTTTATTTGAACAGTGAGAGACAGAATAACAACAACAAAATCCAGAAAACGCATGTCAAAAATGTTATAATTTATTTGCATTTTAATGAGGGAAATAAGTATTTGACCCCTCTGCAAAACATGACTTAGTACTTGGTGGCAAACCCCTTGTTGGCAATCACAGAGGTCAGACGTTTCTTGTAGTTTGCCACCAGGTTTGCACACATCTTAGGAGGGATTTTGTCCCACTCCTCTTTGCAGATCTTCTCCAAGTCATTAAGCTTTCGAGGCTGACGTTTGGCAACTCGAACCTTCAGCTCCCTCCACAGATGTTCTATGGGATTAAGGTCTGGAGACTGGCTAGGCCACTCCAGGACCTTAATGGTGCTTCTTCTTGAGCCACTCCTTTGTTGCCTTGGCCGTGTGTTTAGGGTCATTGTCATGCTGGAATACCCATCCACGACCCATTTTCAATGCCCTGGCTGAGAGAAGGAGGTTCCCACTCAATATTTGATGGTACATGGCCCCGTCCATCGTCCCTTTGATGCGGTGAAGTTGTCCGTCCCCTTAGCAGAAAAACACCCCCAAAGCATAATGTTTCCACCTCCATGTTGACGGTGGGGATGGTGTTCTTGGGGTCATAGGCAGCATTCCTCCTCCTCCAAACACGGCGAGTTGAGTTTATGCCAAAGAGCTCCATTTTGGTCTCATCTGACCACAACACTTTCACCCAGTTGTCCTCTGAATCATTCAGATGTTCATTGGCAAACTTCAGACGGGCATGTATATGTGCTTTCTTGAGCAGGGGGACCTTGTGGGCCCTGCAGGATTTCAGTCCTTCACAGCGTAGTGTGTTACCAACTGTTTTCTTGATGACTATGGTCCCAGCTGCCTTGAGATCATTGACAATATCCTCCCGTGTAGTTCTGGGCTGATTCCTCACCGTTCTCATGATCATTGCAACTCCACGAGGTGAGATCTTGCATTGAGCCCCAGGCCGAGGGAGATTGACAGTTCTTTGTGTTTCTTCCATTTGCGAATAATCGCACCAACTGTTGTCACCTTCTCACCAAGCTGCTTGGCGATGGTCTTGTAGACCATTCCAGCCTTGTGTAGGTCTACAATCTTGTCCCTGACATCCTTGGAGAGCTCTTTGGTCTTGGTCATGGTGGAGAGTTTGGAATCTGATTGATTGATTGCTTCTGTGAACAGGTGTCTTTTATACAGGTAACAATCTGAGATTAGGAGCACTCCCTTTAAGAGTGTGTTCCTAATCTCAGCCCGTTACCTGTATAAAAGACACCTGGGAAACAGAAATCTTTCTGATTGAGAGGGGGTCAAATACTTAATTCCCTCATTAAAATGCAAATCAATTTATAACATTTTTGACATGCGTTTTTCTGGATTTTGTTGTTGCTATTCTGTCTCTCACTGTTCAAATTAACCTACCATTAAAATGATAGACTGATCCTTTCTTGTCAGTGGGCAAACGTACAGAATCATCAGGGGTTCAAATACGTTTTTACCTCACTGTAGAAGAAAAAAAAAAACCGGTTTGAAGTTGAGTCCAGCATATGTTTAAAAATAGAAAATTGCCTGCAACATGGGTGAGGCATCAGCAGTTATTGTGGCAAGCATTTCAAAATCACATGGCAAACTGGTATATGCAAACGCAATTGCGGCTGCACCCAAAACAAGAATGTGCAGCTCATAAGAGTACCCTAGTCACGTGTAAGAAAGACAGGAGTTTCTCAAACTGTGTCGTTTTCTTTTATATTATGTCTAAGAAGAAGATGATTGTACCGTGGCCGCAAATCCCAGGGGAGGCTTGGGGCTCATTAATAAATCTGCGCGGTTCCTGCCCGCCACTCGTGGGGTTCCCATGATCTGATTCTCTGCACGATTCGATTGCGATTAAATAACCGATTCGTTGTTGTTGTTGTTGTTGTCTCGGTTACATTGTTTCCCATTGCGTCTCGTGTTTGCAGCCACCGTTATCCAGTGTGAGCGAATCGCGAATCCATGAGCAGGGCCACCGAATTGTGGCTCGGCGAATCCGAGGGATGTACTGGCAATTGGCACGAGGTGGCGACATTGTATGAATAATGATGATGATGATACTGGTAGGAACCTCCTGGTTACACCAGCCCACGGGGGATTATTGTGTCCGTCGTGCAGGGAGGGGCTGGGTGGGGAGGGAGGGGGTTAGAGGGGTGGGGCTGGGTGGGGAGGGGCTGGGTGGGGGGTGATAGGGGTGGGGCTGGGTGGGGTGGGGCTGGTCACCCCGTGGTGCTCTTATAAAACTCAACGTTTAACCTACTCACGCCGGCTTGTGCCCGCCTTCACAGTTGGCCATATTTGCGCAATACACCACGCCGCCGTTGACCCTGGCCATTGACCAAGCAACCCGACGTTCCTACCAGCTCCCTCCGCAGGAATGTGTTTGAACTGCAGTAGAACTGGTTCCACTGCAAGGAGACGGCGCTGTTGAGGCGAGCATTAGCGCGGGTCACGCACATTTGTGAAACTCCTAAACCCGGCCTCGCTGTGATGTGGCGAGGAAATGGAAAGGCAGCAGTGGAGACGACTCCACATTTGCGTGCATCTCCGAGTGCTTTCATCCTGCAACGCACAGCGGGGTTTGTTAAATTTGAATCAAAGTTCCTACGATTACTATTGTTAAATCCTTTATATTAAGTTCGCTTGCTTGCTTGCGTGCGTGCTTGCTTGCTTGCTTACGAACGTGCAAATCTTTCGGTCGTTTTTTAACCCACTTCCCGTGATCCAATCGAGCTGATATTTTGCACACAGACTCGTTGTGCGTGACAATTAATGTTCGTGAAAGTTTGTTTTCAAAATGTTACACTTTTTAGGACAAAAATATTATATTTAATTACCAATTGCTTAATGGTGCAATGCAATCATCTGACCCATAGGTGGCAGCCATCTCAAGCCAGAGGACGAGAGGACTCTAGCCGCCACGCATATAAAGGATTTATAGTGAAAAACTTTGTTTTTACGGGTTATACTTGTTTCATCATCTTGATACCGGCAAAAAAAAAAAAGTTCCCCAAAGCAAACAACGCGATGACTCTTGTTACAAAAAAACTGGCACAGACTCAATGACTGCTGCCTGCCGGTCAACGGGTAAATCCGGATCGTCCGGTCGGAAGACGCCGGGTGAGATACTGCGGCGGTCGTGTCGCTGAACAGGAGTAGCAGCAGCAGCTGTATGATCTGCAGCAGCAGCTGTAGCATCAGCAGCAGTAGGAGCTGTAGCAGCAGCTGTAGCATCAGCAGCAGTAGGAGCTGTAGCAGCAGCTGTAGCAGCAGCAGCTGTAGGAGCTGTAGCAGCAGCTGTAGCAGCAGCAGCTGTAGGAGCTGTAGCAGCAGCTGTAGCAGCAGCAGCTGTAGGAGCTGTAGCAGCAGCTGTAGCAGCAGCAGCTGTATGATCTGTAGCAGCAGCTGTAGCAGCAGCAGCTGTGGTTGCTGTAGCTGTAGCAGCAGCTGTAGCATCAGCAGCAGTAGGAGCTGTAGCAGCAGCTGTAGCAGCAGCAGCTGTAGGAGCTGTAGCAGCAGCTGTAGCAGCAGCAGCTGTAGGAGCTGTAGCAGCAGCTGTAGCAGCAGCAGCTGTAGGAGCTGTAGCAGCAGCTGTAGCAGCAGCAGCTGTATGATCTGTAGCAGCAGCTGTAGCAGCAGCAGCTGTGGTTGCTGTAGCTGTAGCAGCAGCTGTAGCAGCAGCAGCTGTAGGAGCTGTAGCAGCAGCTGTAGCAGCAGTAGCTGTGGTTGCTGTAGGAGCTGTAGCAGCAGCTGTAGCAGCAGCAGCTGTATGATCTGTAGCAGCAGCTGTAGCAGCAGTAGCTGTGGTTGCTGTAGCTGTAGCAGCAGCTGTAGCAGCAGCAGCTGTATGATCTGTAGCAGCAGCTGTAGCAGCAGTAGCTGTGGTTGCTGTAGCTGTAGCAGCAGCTGTAGCATCAGCAGCTGTAGGAGCTGTAGCAGCAGCTGTAGCAGCAGCAGCTGTATGATCTGTAGCAGCAGCTGTAGCAGCAGCAGCTGTATGATCTGTAGC